GAGTTTCCCTGGAAATAAAATACAATATATGAGTAACCATAGAAACTAGACTACCCAGTGCATATTTCACATGAGTAATTATCACCAGGGATAGACTAGGATGTCGCATAAATTTCTATTGCTAATAAAATAAATCAAATCACACACCCAGTTAAGGTTGTTCACTGTTATTTCATCACAATATCTTGTTTTAAAAACACTATTTAATTATAGATTAGAACATATACCATGGAAATACCATGGAGTGATTTCAGAGAAAATCTAGTGACAAAATGGACTTTTCTGAAACAACTGCTATGGGAATCCATAGTATTATCATTGAATAGTATTCTCTTAATAATTTGTGATAATAATAACATCAACATACCAGTAATATATATTAAACAAAATGAAATACTAGCTCGATTTTTCAGGAAAAGTACACTGTACTTGTCACTTTTTTTTTATCTATACTATATAATGAACATATCACTTCACTACACTTATCTAATTAACAGATCTTGAAAGCATATTACTAACATCTCTTTCTTATTATCAAGCAGTATAAATGTATTTATTCTATCCACTTACTTCTATGTCTAACAAATGTTTTATTTCAGCCAAATCTTACCTCATACATGTATCTTGAAAATTGTATTTGTTAGTTACACCAAAATTAACTGTGTTGACATTTCATAGCAATTCATAAAATTTTCAAATTTGAAATGGTCAGATAAAAATTGTTTGAGTTATTGTAGAAACTGTGGAAATTTGATGAATATATTGAAATATATATATAGAACACAAATGAATATTGTAAATATCCAAGTTTAAAAGAAGTTTGATAAAGATGAGTAATTGTAACCACAAAAGAAAGTTGTACAATAGAGTGAACAATCTAGAATGATATGGACAAAGTAAAAATAAAGTGACTCACTTGGCTCGGCTCATTCTTCTTTCCACTCGACTCATTGATCGTTTGATTGCTTCTTGCTTTTTGTCACGTTTTAATTTGACCCAACTTCTTCCTGCTCTATCAAACGTACACCAGAGAATCCAAAACAATGTAAACATGACAACCCAATTACACACCACTATACCTGCAATGCAGAAAAATTGATTAAACATGGTTTGGGTGTGTTGCCATGGTGAAGTAGTAACCAGGCAACAGCAATAAGTTAAGATAAGTCCTTTCAAGACTGATCAGACTACCAACATAATAAAGTACATGTACTGGTAGTTTGATTCGGTACTGGTAGTTTGATTTCATACATGATTTCATGTTAATCGATGGAGCCAAAAAAAGGTGAAAGAAAAAAATTAACTGAGGACACATGCTACATTAAAACAAAATACAATTTTGAAGAATACTATTCTGAATACAAAACAAAGTTTTTCAGTAGCCAAGTCTAGAACAAGCAACCATAACCTACCTATTGAAAAGGGAAGACATACTAATCCCAAAACACCTTTAGAAAATAGAATTTGTGGTCAATGCTCACTCCAAGAAATAGAGGATGACTTTTTCATGGAATGCCTCATGTATCTATCACATCGAAAATATTTGTCATCAGTAAGATTTCCATTGAAATACAAAAAATCATTCATTTCTTACAAAGCACAAATAAAAATATTATCAAATCTGTAGATGAATTCATACACCATGCCTTCTTAATTAGAAAGTAATCTTATCTACAAATGATTTGTTATTGCTATATACTTATAGAAAAATTATACTGTAAACTGCTTTAATTTCACAAGACAAATGTTCGTGAATATTGCCAATTTTTTTCTGGGGTCCCACAACACAGAAAATCAGTATAAATTAATCTGTTTACAGTACACAATGGCAATTGCTGTGCAGCAGGTAGCAGTCCAAATACTGTATTAAAATGCACTAATTATTCAATCGTTTTTAATTTTGATATTTTCTTTGATAAATAAAATTCGCTAAATTAAATCCATATGAACATGAAAAATAACAAATATAGAACTTTTTGTTTCTACGCCAAATTAAAATTCAATGAAACATCAAAATAGTGAAATAAAATGCTAATGAAAATAAATGGTTTTACAGAAGACGAGGGAATGTAATTGAAGTCTTTGAACTCAGAGCAGGCATTGGGAAAGTTCACTATAATCATTTTTTTGAGTGGTTATGTAGAGTTTACAGGGCAGTTTTATAAGCAATTTAGCAGACCTGAATTAAAAATTAAAAATGTTATTAACCAGAGAATTATAAATGACTGGAACACTCTCACAGAATATGTTGTGGTTGAAAATAAGAGCTTTTATTCAAAAAGATGAATTGATAATAACTGTACAGGTTGAAATCATTATAGGTCAAAAAGCTGTTCATCAGAATAAATCACAAAATGCCATTAGGACATTCTCAGAACTAATAGTTAATCTTAGCATAAAATCTCTGCTGGTGAATGGCTGCAGAAACTGGACGAAGGGTCACATGTCACATGTGGCCATGCATCAGGTAACCAACATGTGATTGCCATGTGACCACCATGTGACTGTCGGAAACCACACATAACAAATGCAACTATTTTTGCATTCCCAGGAGCAGCAGCAGCTTGTAAGCATCGTAAGCATCTGGTTGAGTGCATCAACTCTCCAATCCTTTGCATGAATAATTACTATTTATTTGGTTGAATATTGATTACTTACCTAAGACTGTTCGTTTGGCCATACCAGCTGGACATACATTATAATGATCTGCTACCCATACTAAACCAAAAATTAACCAAACAAGTTCAACAACTAACACAGCTGTAAAGAAAGGAACAAACATGATGCATTAAAGGTATCACAAGATATTGCATACAAATATTGAATTGGCATTCGGTTGATAGATGTCAGACCATAATTATGACAAATAGATTGGACCATGGAAGCCTGCATACTATGGTTATTTGCTTCTACTGTAAAACATGTTATTTTAGCTAATTTAGCTAATCTGTAATTTGGCCAAAATGCAGCTAATTTAACAGAAAGTATATTTTCACAGGGAGATAGTCAACACTTTAGCTAAATAAAGATTCTGTTAATTCATGCCAAGAATCAAATTCGGTAAAATTGCATGCCGCTATAACAACGTGTTCTACAGTATTGATGCAGAAATTTGGGTTTTCCCATCAAAATAAAATAAACATGACCAGTGAAACATGATAAGTGAATGAATTCATTGTAGTTCTTACCTAATCTGACATATAAAATATAAGCTATCTTGTCTCTTGGTCTGGTATACATGATAGTACCGCGTAGACTCAACCATGATATGAGAGCTTCTAATGTTATACACACACACAGAATAACTATATATCCTAAGACATGGTCATGTAGATTGCGTATACAGGATACTGACATGTCAAACTCTACAACACCTAGCACTACAGACAGCACAATTAACCTACAAATAAACAAATACATTGTTCATATTTAATACACCATTTATATACATTGTGTTTTTTAGTACGAAGTGTTTTTATGATGTATACAGAAAATGTATGGGTACAACAAAAGCAGTGCACGCCATTTTAATCAGTTGTGGTCATCCAATCATAAAGATTATATGTTGAGATTTACCTAATTCTAAATGATGAATGACTACACAGTTGGCAATTTGAGCGATAGTGCCATCACCCATATACTGTAAAATACTTAATTAATACGAATTAATTTTTGCTATTTTCACTGAAGGAATAATTCAGTGAAAATAAAATCCAGCGAATATACCTTTTTCCCCATATTTTACATTCAACTTGTCAAAAATAAGTGAAAATAAATTCCATATACAAAACACCCAAAAATTCTTTTTAGGGAAAATTAATTTCAACTAAAGTATTTTACAGTATATCACTAGACGGTGCAATTTATAGGAATGGTGTGTTTCACAATAATTTTAATATTTTAAAGCATATTAATTGGTTTTAAATTCGAAAAGATTGTTATTCAATCAATTTTATGGATTGATTTTGCAACAATTGTGAAATTAAAATGAATTGATAATTCCAATATAATAGTGACAAAACAGGATACAATAGCTTGCCATCAACAAAAAGAAGGGAATGTGGGATATAATGCATTAAGGTAGAAGCCTACTCATAAATACAAACACCCAGAATTTATTTATTTTGCAATAAATTGTACTGGCTGTACTGTAATTGTATTGGTCAACCAACTATTTTCTGAGAATATGATTGTTGTATTTTAATAGTGAACGGTGACCATTTTGTTGAGTGCTTAACCATAGATTGCTACCATGGAGATATTATGGGATATTTGGCAGGTGATATATGGTTAAAAAACTGGGACTGATTTTTGTTATTTTGAATAATTGCAAGAGACTGTTTTAAAAAGTTAAAAATGCTACCAATTTTTGAAAAAGTATCGGACCTCTTTTCTCAACTATAGCTGCATAAGTGTACAAAATAAACCCATGAAACTTGTCATGCAATTTATCATATAGTAGAACAGATATAGCAATGAATGAAATGAAATGTCTTAGTTACTTTTACATACTCACTTACATGTATATGATGTAACTAAAAAAAACTAACTGCTAACTGGAGTTAGATACAATTTGCTAACTGGAGAGTTATGGCAACCTCACTTATACTGTTGAATATACACTCAAGTGAGACACACATTTTTTTAATGAATCAATTGATAAACAAGTCATTGAAAATGACACAGTCCCCGTTAAGTTCTCTTTGTGCTTGTCATATTAAAGCGGAGGGGTTGTCGCAAGCGTGTCCTTGAAACTTGAGTTCCAAGTGGCGTATACAACAGATTGTTTATTTACATGAAAACACGTGTTTCGTGTCATAGTAATATGGCCAAAATAAAAACAGCCGTTATTCAGCCATCTTTGATCTGATTATGAAACACAGAGATATGTATGATGTATGTGCCAAATACGAATGAAAATGGTACATAAATTGTGGAAATATAGTAGTAAGGCCAAAAAGTCAGATGGCTGTCAAACGGCCA